TGTTTCCACTATTGACGTTATTAATATTATTATTATTATTATTATTATTATTATTATTATTGAACATGAATATTTAAAATATAGTGTTGAGGATGATGTTGAAACAACTAACAAGAAGTGCTTGAAGCGATGTAAAGACTTACTTAGGATGTTGTATGTACCAAGAAAAGGTAAACAAACTTGTTTCCACTTATTGGCAAGTGGGACACTTTTGAGAGAAACCCGAATTACATTATAATGAATTAAACAGAAAGCATTTGTATTTGCAGGATTTAAATATTCCACACGACTCGTAACCACCATGGTGCTTTCTTTCATTCTCATCTACCAGGTGAGTTGAGCATATTGAAACATAGATGAAAGCAATTATTTTAGTGCAAGATCAACCACATTGATGTTGATGACCCCTTTTTTTAAAGAAGTATCACAGTTAATAATATCGTTTATAGGAATTGACTATGATAGTGTGTCATTGGTGCACATTGGAACACATGGTCACGCAACTAGAATCTATTTAGTTATTGTTAAATTGAGGATTACCTAATTTGCATGTTAATTTTAAACATTTTCAATTGTTACTCACATGCCTGATTAGTTTCTATGTATATTAATTACCTAATGTGAATACTAATTACCACATTTTTAGCTTTTCCGCCACAACCACTCATCAGACGTGAATGTATGCTCTGGTGTAAGCCATATATATGTTTAGTTTAGGGTTAAATTATGTACTTACTAATTACCTAATTTGCATAAATTAACTAATTTATAGGTGTTTTACAGATATCGTAACACTCATCAAATACCAATGACATTTGGTACAGCTCTGACTACTTCAGGGTTTAAATCTATAAATATATTACTTACCTACTTTATATAAATGGATTCATGCGACCACAATAATATGCATAAGTTTAATTACTCAAGCACTGTTGATATAATGCAACTTGTGCTATAATATAGACACTTGAAAAGAGAGGTGACTAGCACAACAGATGTTACCATCTTTATTATTCATAACTTAATTATTTCATGCACTTTTGCAGCCCGGGATGTGCATTTTGGTGCTATATTGAATGCATCGGACAAGAAATATTACTAACATATCAGATGATTGTATGTGGTCATGTGATCTTATTAATATGCATAACAGTGATGTATTAGGCATTGCTGCAGATAATGCGATACAACTAGTGCCATAATGAAGGCTTCGTACAAAAAATATGACTATATATATATATATACACGTATATATATATATATATATATATATATATATATATATATATATATATATATATAGTCATGTGACCTCAATGATAAGCATAAGTGTTATAATTGTGTTATAGCTGAAATATAAGGTCATCATACATGGTAATATTTCTATTAATTACATTTAATCATTATAATATACTAGTAACCAATTTGAACCACCCTGATCACTGCTTGCATCTATATTTTTAAATTAAATATTTTTTTCTATTAGAAACAAATTTGCTCAAATGCAAATGACAAAGGCAAATCATGTGGCCAAAATAGGACATACTTCAATAATGTTTATACAATAAATACAATTTGTGCTTTATGTAAATTAGAGATGTGCTACTAATTGAGGTAATGCAGTATTCCTTATTAGTAATTTATGCTTCTAAAACCCTTTGCACACACTAGTTTTATTCTAAGATTTCTTTGATTGCATAATTTCGTTCAAGTTATATATAATTGGAATGTATCTAGTGTATGATGCAGTGCCGACGTCAGGAGAAGGCTGGAAACTAGTAGCAGGTAATATCAGACTTATTGCAAAATATCATGAATTATCATATTATATGGATGCCGTGGCAATGTAATTTATTTTCCCTTATTGTATGACACGACCTAGTTTTAGTTACTCTGGAACTCCCCGTATTTTGATTTTACAGTCGGTATATACATCTCACTGTCGGCAACTTGTTTACTTACTATATGTGTGATACTACACATAATGCAGCAGTACAGGTACGATATTCTGTTTCAGTATTAGTTTTTACAACACACGAATTTCTGGTTTGAACAGCTCTTTCTATATTCGGTAAATACTCATTATACTCAATTATGAAAGAAAATTATACAACATTATCTGAATTAAAAGTTTTAAGTCTGTGTAACACAATTACACTTTCTCTTTTTTTAATCCAGGGAGAATATGCTAGCTGTGTATAGAGGGGACCATTCTTTAATTCCATCTGTGATTGAAAACACAACGTTTTCCTTCAGTCCAGCAATGCGGGTGGTAAGTCTGGCTTAACATCATTTTTCACAAATGATAATTCGTATACGATTAATCTCTTTTCTAATAAATATAGATCCCTTTGAACACATCGCAAACAAACTGCATACTTTGTATGTATTCCCGCATCTACTACTACGTGTCCTATGACCTCTAGTCAGTATTTCGTCTCAGACTTTATTTGATCCACTTTATAATGTATTATAACTGATTTATTAGTTGTAATTGAATTATGTGATTTCCTGCGATTCTATGACCATCCGAAATTACGTCGCGATTAACACTAGTATATGTGTACTATTGTACAGGTATCTGCCAGTCGATACATGGGATTTCAAGTTGCCTATATGATTTGGGGTAAGGGAAAATATGTTCTAAATTTTAATAGTGTGATGGAATCTCCTTCACGTGAATATTACATTTACTAATATTGATTATGATCTTTCAAAATATGTATTTATTGTCCATTTCGATGTTTACGATCGATTCAATTTTCGCAACTAAACGATGATGATGTCAACAAAAATGTGAGTAGTTGCGAAAGTGCAACTGTTTTAATATTAAACAATTCTATTTTGTAGGTTTTTTCATTCAGTTTTTGGTTATTTTAATTGGAGTTGCTTTTCTGGGATATTTCTTGGGTAGCGATGATGGCAGGAAAGGACTGTGGCAACTACTCAAATATTTAGGGTGCGTTCTCATTTGCAAGCATTTACTTTTACTTTGATATTTACCATATACCATACAGAACGTCTTCTTGTAGTAATATAGTCATTCTGCAATTTCCAAGTGCAATTTTATAGTCTACTCCTGCTCCCTGAAATAAACTTGTTCCCTTGACCACTCTGCGTTACAAGCACTCTAAAAATATGTTTATGGTGATGTTTACACGCATTATTGAGGTCGCACGCATAGTGTACATCATATGCGATGCACTCACATTGACATTTTGCTTTAAATATCTGTGGCAGTACTATGTTGAGCAGTCATACGTACAGTCATAATTAGATAAATCATATTCATGTCATTACTACTCAGCAAATCAATAAAATACACAGATTATGACCCACAAATTAGGTAATTAATATGTACGGATTACAACCAAAATCTAATGTAGTATGTCGATTATCAGTACATATGAACCATATTTTATTACTAATATTGATAGTTATTCAAATAGATCCGTTGAATGACAGGGAAAAATCACACCATGGCGTTAAACAACGTCTTCCGATAGATGGTGATATAACTGTAATAGCCGGGTATAAATACACAAGCACAGAATAGTGAGGTAGCGCTTGACAAGTAATTTCTACTCAATTTAGTCCAATAACTCTGTTCGCTCTACTGGTGACCCTTGGACAGTACCTTATGGCACGATTTGCATTTCTTCAAGACCATGGGAAAGTGTTTGCATTAGACAACAGGTAAAGTGTGCTTAGTCATATGTGTTACTTTTTGTGACCAATCAAATAATAGGGAGATTTAAAACAGTGAAGTAACTTTAGGTTCCGCTATTGCTTGTTACAGTATCTTCCGTAGAGAAAGATTCTGGGATACCAGATATTAGACATGTTGTTTTTAAATGTGCACACCTAACAAGCACAAGAAATGCGCACATACTGTAAAAACTATGTTTGGAAATATTATTTGTGATCATCCGAT